CCGAGATGATCGGAAATCATCTGGTGTTTCTTCCAGCACTTTCCTGGTTTTGTCCTGTTACACTAAGTCTTGACTGCCTGTTGCGTCGGTGTTTATCCAGCTGCCCCGGCATTGTTTACCGAATTCAGCCTGGACCCAGACTCCTGGGGGGCCGGGCTTGGAGGGAGAGGAGAGGAGGCCCCTGGGAAGGGGAGGGCTGGGCCAGCCAGGGTCCAGGAAGCTCACTCGTTACCCGCATGTTCACCAAGGGCCTGCTGTGTGCCCCACACTGTCGCAGCACTGGGGAGACCACAGTGACCCGCAGCCGGAATCCTTGCTGTCACACACCGAGCACAAACGACCTTGCGTACAGCATGATGACAGATAAAACACAAGGCCCGTCAGGGATGTAGTGGCAGAGATGTCACAGCTGGTGCTCAGGGATGGCGGCACCCAAGCAGAACGTGAAGGAGGGAAGATGGGGTGGGGGGGCGGCACATGCAAAGGTCCTGTGGTGAGCCTGCTGCAGGAGGCGGGTAGGGTGGGGCGGTTTGTGCAGAGCAGTGAAGGCTCCATCAGGACCCGTCCATGGCCCCCACAGACATTCTCCAAAGCAGAGCAGAGACCCCTAAGGGGGCGCTGTGTCTCCTCAGTCTGAGGCACTCTCCCTCGGACCCCCGGGGTGCAGCCCTTTGGCCTTGGCTCTTGGCACAAGGAGGCCTCTGCCCAGAGTGACCATCCACCTGCCCGCCCCCAGCACTTGGCCACATTCATCATGGACAAGAGTGAGGCCATTGTGTCCGTGGACGACGCCATCCGGAAGCTGGTGCAGCTGAGCTCCAAGGAGAAAATCTGGACACAGGAGATGCTGCTGCAGGTCAACGACCAGTCGCTTCGACTGCTGGACGTGGAGTCCCAGGTCTGGCCCCGAGGGGCGGGGAGGGCGTCCACCTGTCCCTGGGGGCAGGCAGAGGCATGACGCAGATGCACAGCTGGGTCTCTCTGTGGGGGTGAGGATCAGGACGAGGGCAAAGGGCAGGCCAAGCAGGGAGGATCAGACAGGCCTGAGCCCGGGGAGCCATGTCATACAGAGCCACGTCCACATCTGCAAGAGCCTATCTACTGGCTGTACCGAGCCAGGGCCTGGCTGGGTCTGGGGACAGTCTGTGTGCAACAGCTGTGGCCCCTGCTCACGTGTGGGCCACGCCTGGGCCACGCCCCTTTTCTGTGCCTGCAAGTTATGCTTGTGTCCCTCCCTGTGTCTGTGGCACAGACTGCACGTACTGGGCCACGAGCCATGCCCGTGCCCATGGCGCCGTGCGTCACTCGGGCCCGGCGCGCGTCCCCGTCCGGGCCCATGTTCCGGTCACATCCAGGCATCCAAGCTCCCTGTCCCCCAGGAGGAGCTGGAGAACTTCCCCCTGCCCACCGTGAGGCATTGCCAGACGGTGCTGAACCAGCTGCGCTACCCGTCCGTGATGCTGCTGGTGTGCCAGGACTCCGAGCAGAGCAAGCCCGACATCCACTTCTTCCACTGCGACGAGGTGGAGGTGAGCAGGGCGCAGGGGGGCGGGGCGGGCCCCGCGTCGAGAGCCCAGCCTGACGCCGCGTCCCCGCAGGCGGAGCTGGTGCACGAGGACATCGAGAGCGCGCTGGCGGACTGCCGCCTGGGGAAGAAGG